GGATCTCCCGCTCATATGGATGAGAAGATTGTCCTACATATGTTAAAATTAGAAGGAGGGGGGAGTTCCCCAATTATAAGAGGGGCGAATTTGGGACAACACTGGGCTAAGGGGAAGCTCTCTGCACTGGGCTAACTTCACTCATGTCCTAGAAACAGCCACTCAACAGCCACCCAAATGGCTCAGAAAAGCCATCAGGTAGCCTGAGAGCCTTCATTTTGCTCATGTTCATTTATTTCATTTTTATTTATTTTGCTAGCTGTACGATGGCCGGAACCCTTTCAGCTTGCCCTATTTGTAGCCTCACATAGGAGAGGTGTCAGAGTAATGAACCAAGTCTGCTGAGGAAAATAAAACTGAAATGCCTTTCCTCTCTTGCATTCCAGGGAAATCATTCTCAAACAATATGCTTCCCACTTATACCCCCTGCTTCATTTTCTCCACAGATGTTTCTCTCACTTTAGCAGTTAAAGGTGTATTGCCACTGGCCCTGGAGGCTCTGTTTAATTGACACAAGCCATAGCTTTCAAGGCAGCTCTCTTCTGTGATCCCTTTAAAAGAATAAATTAAGCTTTGTCCTGCTTTTATTTCCCAGTGGGGCACTTGGATAACGTTGTGGCAGACGTCCAACGTAGCTGGGATGTGTGGCAAAATTGGAGGAGCGCTCAGCTTGCATTCATGTGCTTGAAAAGGGTTTCCAGTTATAGATTGTACAGAAGTTCTCCTTGCATTCACATAGATGCAGAGAGAAGATACGGATGTTGACGAGTAAGCAAAAGCCCCTCCTGTCCAAATGGAGATGGCCACAGCAGTGACTGTCACACTGAATGGCTCAGATGCTGAACCAGGCCAGTTGATGTCCTAGCAGATACATGCACCCAAGATGCAAAGTTGGCTTAATTTAGATCTTGGTTAGTTTTTTGGGCCGTCCCAGACTATTTGAATATTTGAGGGTTCCGTGATCATGCAAAAAGCCCAGAAAACAGGCTAATTTAGTAACCAGTTCTATGAAAAATGTACAGAAGTCTGCTGGCTATACCTAGTCATAATTTGCATGGCAATGTATGCTTGCAGGTAAAAATAAAGATTGCACGTTGCAATAATCAAAAGCCTACTGCGTACTTAGAAAATAATGACGGGATAGCACATTTTAAAAAAAACTTGCCTCCAGAAAAGTGAATTTAAAAAGCATGAATTTGGGAAATTCACATACATACCCCAAAGGTATGCAAGGGGGATGTATGAAAAAGATACATTAATGAGATTTGTATTGAAAGATCTCATACTCTAGGGCCGTGTTTCTCAACCTTGGCAACTTTAAGATATGTGGACTTTAACTCCCAGCATTCCCCAGCC